AAAAGCAGAGTCTACTGTAACACAGACCTAACGTAAAAGATACTTAATTTTATTGTGTACTTTGTCCTTTGAGTTCATAATTCATAGATCAAAATTTATGCTGTTCTAACATTTCCTTCACAAAATCAATGCAGTATCCTTTCCAAATTAAAAAGTTTTCAGTGGTCTCACAGGTTTCCAGAAGATGATCGATACAGCGATCATATGAAAGGGTTTTAATGTCTTATAATGTTATAGCTGTTAGCTGTAAAATTTTGGATCCAGCAATGCTGACATGTTTGCATTTTGGTAAGTGTACTGTATGGTCCACAGATAAAAACCTATGGACTCAATTTGCAGCTTTCTCTCCATATGGATGTCACATAAAAATGGGGTAAAAAAAAAAAAAAAAATTGCTCACAACACCAACATGGTTTCTGCCGTCAATTTGGGGTGTGGGGGAGAAAGATAAAATGTGCTACTGATATTTATTCTCAGACATTTGTATCAGGTGGTCCCCTAGCAGTAACTGAAAACCGTATCTTTTCAAAGAGGTTTCTTTCATGACTGAGCCAACAAAACCCAGGAAGACTATAGGGAAGTGTCAGTCTTGAAGACCAGATGTTTGCTGGAAGTGCATGCTTTTAAAAAGACTTCATGAAGACTGTTTATCTTACTAGTGGTGTGCCATAGAAAATTCCACGGGGGTAAAAAAAGAAATTGTTGTATTTTCACTCTAGATGTACTTACTAAGGAAATTTAATCTCTGAACAACGGAATGGTCAAGTGCAGGCAGCATTAATCTCTTTTTAATTTATGTAAGGGAAAAGTTTCTATTTGTTTCAGGGCAGGATGTTCTTACACTGTTTCTATAGCAAATTCATAGCTATTCTGAGAAAGACAAACTTGCCGTAGCACAGCACATTTAAAGTAAAACAAAGCCTCCTTTGCTGTAGGGTGATGGATGCTTTCTACTGGTCTCATGTTTATTGGGTAAATGTTAATTCTTTATATCAAAAACACATCTTTGGTTCAGAAGAAGTGTTGGTAACATGAAAAATACTAGCACAGGCTTTTTAGACAGTTTAGTAACTGCTTAAGATTACTAGACAAACCCCCCCAGCTTCCCAGTGGATTATATGGGGTTGTACGAGATGCAGCTACATGTGTAACCAGACATTTCAGACTGCACTTCATCTACCTCGACTACCTAGTTATCTTTTTCAAAGGGAAATGCCAAGAAAGATTTTTGAAACTTCCAACTTTCACACATTTTGTCAGTACTTCCAGCATTTTACCACTCCTGTCAAAAGTCAGGGCTCATTTTAACAAGATAAACTACATTTCTGCTTTTTTTTATCATCCTGTTTCAATTTGCAGGATAATGGCAGCGCACCTTCCTAAGGCAGACATCCTCGGTGTCCTAGTACGACGTTTCTGGCCTACTGACAGATCCAAGAGCACTTGCTTGGTTCTTCATCCTCTCATAGCATTTGTGGAGACACAACGAGTCAGGCCACCTTGAGATCAATACTAGACCTGGCAGCTGGCAGAGAGATTTCTAAGTTTTTAATTGCTCTTTTGAAAGTGAAACAAAACTTCACAGCTGAACTGTCTTGGCAGAGTCTTTAAAGCATTTTCAGATTTTTTTTTTTCTTTCCTGTCTCCTTCAATAGTTCGTTTGTGAACCAGAGCACATCCATTTACTAGCTGGTTCCTATTATTAGAGGGAAACTTATTTTAAAACAGAAAGCATACTGAATCTATCTTTTGTGACTGTCCCTTATTGTCCCTGAACTACACAGCTTACATAGTGGAATGTCTTTCAAAGACAAAACTTCAGGACTATGGAAATAAGAATGGACTGGGTGTTGCTTGTTGCCTGTGATTTCACAAATTGTCTTGAAATTGTTTGTCACGCCTGGAAGCAAGATAAGTGACAGAAGAGCCAAGATGATAGAAAATGACAGAGAATGAATGATTTATATTTTCTGGTTTCCCAATTCTTTTTAAAATTCTGTTGCTTTTATCCATTTGAAACAGACATAGCTTGTAAAGTGCTTTCAGATACTCTGCCCTACACTACTGAATAGTAGTATATATATATAAATATACTGAATCTTTTAGTTTTAAATCAGAAAAAAAAAGGTACAAGGAAGCATAAGGGAAAAAAGAACTCAGCCCTGCAAAATGCTACATCATTCAGGATCCCATTTTACCAGACAAAGATTTTGCAAGACCAAGGTTGACTAAGACAAGAGGAAGCTGGAAGAAATATGTAAATTCTATATGCATAAATAATTACCTGGTGGCAGTATCTTTTTAAGGAGCATTAAACATTTTCCATTGTCTACACAGTGAAGTTGTAGTTCCATTTTAAGTTATTGGATTGATTTTAGGAGATAATCAAATTTCATGATCTCTCTTAATCAGGAAGTCAGACTAAATTATTGTCTTTTGGCTATGGAGTCCTATTAATGTAATTAAAGAATCTGAGTCAAACCTACATCTTCAAAGTTTTTATGCTTCCAAAATAAAACCCAAGGTGTTGGTGTTCCTGGATATGAGAAACACAACTCCTGGAAATTTTTGTTTCCTTCTGACAGTCTCTTGGGATCTCTGTTTTGTCATATGTAGTGTTCCTCCACAAGAGACATACATAAATAAGAGCTTCTCATAACATAGAGGTTTTTATTTCACCAGTTTTAGTAGTAGGCTTTTTTTTCTTGCCAGCTTTGATTCACACTCAAATTCACTTTTTAATCATAATATGGTAAACCTATCACTGATGTAATTACTCTTTACCCGGTATTACAGCTGTGAGTGGGTGGGAGACAGCAACAGCCTGTATTTTCCTTGAAGTAATTTCAGCATAACTCTAAGGGATATTTGAGAAGGTATATGAAGAATTTTTTTGAATTTCCTCTATAGTACCCAAAAAAAAAAAGTACATCTTGGCCTGCTGCCCAAAATCTCAGTTGGAGAAGAAAAGTCTGTGTATATTGGGCATTCGTTAGATCCTGATGTCTAACTACCATATGAAACAATAAAGGTAGGAAGACTTTCAGGAGTGTCATAGTTTTACACCAAGGAGTTAGTTCTCTTCCCTAGATTTATTTAAAGTCATAAAACCTATTCTGAACTGACATTTGGTGTTCTATTTAATGGTACACTGATCATTTTTTCCAAGACTTTTTTTCCTTCTTTTTTTTTTTTTCCCCCCTCTTGAAACTATATCCAGCTGTCATAAGCTGGGGAAAAGAATGAAGAAAAGTAAAAATGTTAAGTCAGCACAGCACTGTCATTTGAGGGCTTGCCTCTGTTTTCCTTCAAGCTATCTGCTTGATCCCTGGTTGATCTCAGAAGTTGAACTGAGAAGCCTCGTTCTTGGGATGCGTACATTTCTTCATCCTCATTCTGTTTGAATAAACCATGATGTCCAAAGCAAAACATGCACACCTTGTTGTTTAATTCTGAGGGACACAGACATCTGCTGTACTGAGAAGTAATGGAGCTACCCACAAAGCACAAATTGCCACTTTCAGTTTCTTGAGTTTTTACCTTTTCTCCACTTTTCATGTTGGTCAAGGCTGGACAAGACAGACACACGGAAACATGGCTTGGAAGAGCAGCACCTTATTGCACTATTACTTCATCTCACAATGAACCAAACCAACATGTCAACTGCTGCATACACTGGCTTTATTCCTTCAGAATGTGTAAAATGTATTTTAAATAGGAAGCCTGTATTATACTTGGCAAACATGAGTTTATTCGGTAAGGGAATTTCATGGTTTACTGGCAGTAGGAATACATGGCAAGAGAGGACACTTTTAGATGTGTAAGTATCAACATCTCTTTCATTAACTGTAAGCTGGAAATACACATTCATTAATTTGTTAAAGTGCCCAGTTACATTCAATTTATTTTATTCTTATTTTTTCTTTACTGTAGAAAGATAAAAATCTTTCTTCTTTATGATTCCGAAGCAATTAAAAGAAAAATCTGCCTCCTCATCTTCTGCACAAAAGCATGGGCCAGGAAAGCCTCAAAGTGAGAAACTTGTCCAACCAGCAGTGTGTTCCTGTTTTTCTTCTTATACTTCCAATATGAATGACTAGCTGCAGCTCTCACCTGCACTAGGCAGAAAAAGGTTAAAGCAAACTCTTATTTGTAAAACAGGAAACAAAAAGACAGTAGGGCCACACTTTCTCTTAGTAATAATAATATTTGGTAAAAAAAAAGTAAACTTGTTAAGGATGAGGGTGCACGTACAAAACAGAAACAGGACATGTCTTCTAGTATATTTCTTCCTGTAAAGTATTCCACCAGTGCCCTCTAAATTCCTCAAAATCTCATGGTAAAAATTGTCAAGACTTTGAATTACATTTTAAAAATAACTCTGCTGAGGTGTTATTTGGCTTAGTATTCAAACTATTAGAATTGCGTGGGTTGTTTTTGTTTTTTTTTTTTTTTTTTTTTACACAAACACAGACTGTGCCTATGAAACAGCAGGTTCAATGAAAATGAAAGGTATGAAGCACAAAAAAGTACTCTTACACAAAACTTGCAGTGTTGGAATGTATTGCTGCAAGACACCACTGAAGCCCAGAATTTTAAATAATGAGACCACAAGGATGAGAATATTCAAGAAGAAAGAAGCCCCACGCAGAAAATTTTGGGATACTTTATATTCCAAGTGAAGACAGCTTAACAGAATCAAATATCATTGTTTACAACAGGAAGATGCTTTTGTCGAGGTATTTTCAAGATTCAGATTTAAGGCTCAGTAAGAACAGTGTCTTTGGAAAGGTCAAACCTGGTAGACAAGAAAACTTACCACAGCATACATTTATGAGAAGATATTTTATTGCCAACAAATACAAAATTGTTGCTCTCATTCCCTGATGTCTCATTTTAAAGATGAAGCTTTTCCTTCACCACTTTTAAAGACCTGTAGATATAGCATTGTAAAAAATTAAAACAAAAAGAGAAAAATTGTGACAATAAATTAAGAAAAAGAGAAGGTGAGGAGAAGGAAAGCCCAACCCACCAAGGAGAAAATGTATTAGAAGCAACAAAAAAGCTACAAAGTGGAATCAAAGTATCATATTATATTTTCCTTCCAAGAAAGGTTTGAGGGTTTTACACATGAGACAAAATAGCAGCAAAGAAGAAGGTTAAGTACCAGTGCATGTGTGTACCACTGGAACTTGGTTTTGTTAACCAAAACAGTAGTACTCATCAGAATCAATTTTGGGATGCTTATGCAGAGGCTGAGAGTCCTCCATAATAGAAGAATCACTGAACTGGTCCATATCTGAGGGGGTTTGGTGACCAGGGACATCATCCACTAAAGTGTCCAAATAACTCCCCACTGATATTCCATCCAGTCCATCACCACAGTCTTGTAAACTGTTACAGCTGCCGTGGAGGGATGTCTCCTGACTTTCCAGCAAACTGCACAGGCTGCCACTCAAACTGCTACCTCTGCTGGCAGTGGCCTTCTCCTCAATCATCCACTTGATTGATTCAATACTTTCATTGATGATGAGTAGCTGGCGCATAAGCTTCACATCAGTGGCTCGGAGATTAACCTACAAGGCAAAAGTGATTAAAGAAATTACTAATTTTCTTCAAACTCTACATAGCAGGCTGGAGGCAATGAATGGGTTAATAAAACCACACCAATGTTGCAACTTTCACATATAGGACAAATCTATATTTAAATAATTAGTTTAAAAAAATTGCTATATTAATACTTTCAATGAAGTTCAAGTGTGAACCTGATCTGGCCACATAAGCAGTCCATTAATGGGAACACCAGCCAATGACAAGAATTACACAGACACTAGCACAATGCTATTTAGATGAGAAAAACAGCTGCTCTGATAATTCTTGGGGATAGATTTCATTATTCAAAGAAGCAAGACAAATCCATTTCCAATTACTCCAACCTACTTAGCTGATCCAGGCAGCAAGCATTCACCTCAAATTATCCTTGTTATGGCTACTTGGAACCTAAAATTTTCAGGTGTGCATAATTTGGAAAAAGGTGAACTTTTATTCACACTACACCTGAGTTTATGTTGCAAGTTGCTGTATAAATGTCGGAGAGTTGAAATACTCAATTTACTGAAACTGTAAATTTCATAATATTTAAACCCATATTAGAGGAAAGCAACGAGTTCACAGTCAACCACTTATTCTAGATTAACATAAAGAGAAACAATTTGGAACAAAAAAAATGCCCAAAAAACCCACATTAAGCACGAAGTCCTACTTTCCAACTTAGTTGTGGTGGTTGATGCACACACATAGACGGGTTCATGGTAAAGCACAGTAGACTATTACAGTGCTCCATTTCACGGACACATTTAAAGTTAACTGAATCCATGTTTTCCTTAACAGACAAACTTTATAAGCCAGTGTTTTACTCAAATTTCCACAATAAAGTTACAAGTAAAGGTAAAGCCCAAGGGTTTTATTTGTTGCTTCTTTCTTTTCATCTGAAAGATCACAAGTGTTGGCAAAAAAGCCCTGCGAGATCTCCTACTTGTCACATGAAACAAGTGAAAATACTAAAAAGGCAGTCTGAGAAACCAAAGATGATTCTGGGTTTGAGCATAATATCATGTGCGGAGAGCCAGAAGCTAGTTCCATCTATGCTCTGAGAAGATAATGCTGGTTGGTGACCTAAACAACCCTCCAGCACCCCAGCAATACTGTTTGACATCACTACACACTCCTACCTCATCAATTCTGCAGTAAGACCTCTGCCTCAATGAACTTTTGCTATAGTGCCAACATAGGGCATGCACGATTAAAACCACTGCAAAAAATCAGTCATTTTAGATTAACTTACAGGGATATTGTGTCTAGTATGTAAATTGTGTTATATTTTATCACATGTTCTAACATGCTCTAACTGCACTAATAAGAATACTACATGCAGATACGTCACTGCTTTAATATTTGCATTTGAAAAATATTTTCTCTTGTATATAATTTGAGCATACTTCTCTACAAAAATATGGATGCCAAAATGTCTGAGATACATACAAATATAATTAGTATTCTATGGAAGAAAAGCACGTAAATCTTAACCTTCAGGTTATTAATTAAAAAAAAAGACAATACAGTATATAGAACATTTGAACGTCTTCATTCACTCAGCTGAAAAGTATGGAAGAAAACAAGTAAGATCTGTTATGCCAGACAACAGACATTTTATGCCATTCACCAAGTTCACAATTACTATACAGAAATATAGCACCCCTATTGTTCACCCACAATGGATTGGAATGGAATCAGTATTCTCAGGAAGCAAAGACTGTATCTTATTTTGCCAAGTGCATAATATGGGTGTGGTTCTTTCCATACTCGAAAGCCGACTTCTCAATAACCTAAAATGCACTGACCTAGTACAGTGTAAAAAAAAGTTATTTTAATGTAATTTCATTCTGTTAGATACTGCAGAAGATCATACTGGGTTTCACTGGGATGCTCCACAGAAGCCACTATGGTGCTGTATTCCATATCTGTGACTAAAACAGTGTTGATAGCACACCAGTGTTTCAGCTGTTGCTGAACACACTGCACAGCATCAAGGACTTCTCTGGGTTTTTACTCTGCACCCTCAGCAAGCAGGCTGGGGCTGGGAAAGATGTTTGAGAGCAGAGAGCTGGGACAGTCAACCAGAACTGACCAAAGGGATATTCTCCCTGCCATACATACAACGTTGTGCTAAGCACTAAAATCCATGGGTTTTGACTTGCCAGTGTAGCTGTTTGGGGACTGGTGGGCATCAGTCAACTGGTGGGAGATGGTGACTCACCTGTGGTTTTTATTTTCTTTCCTTCACTTGTGAAGCGGTCCTTACTAGAATCCATGAGTTTGTCTTACTTTTGGTCTTTCAATTCTCTCGCCCACTCTAGCTGGTGGGTGCTTAGTTACTGGTCAGATCAACCCAACAAAAGATATTTCATGCTTTGCTAATAAGAGACATGGTTACATGTCTCTTAACTCATGTATTCCCAGTCTCCTTCCTTAATGCTCAGAATGATTTCTGAATTATCCTCAATCCAATATCAAAGGGTTTAACCTGGTACTGTGCAAAATGGCTTTGTTTTCATTCACAGTCTTAACAATACTGCCTATCTACCATTGTTTCAGATGTGAGGTTCTGAAAACAGATTGACCATTTCGTAGCCCTCCTGCTCAAGTCAGTTCCTCTACTCCTATCCATAAATCACTATAAAGCATTTGCTCAGCAACTAGGCTGTCACAAAAGCAGTAAATTACCTAACTTATCAAATGCAACTACAGACTTCAGCAACTTGCTGAATATACATAAGCTTGGAGACAGCAAATTTCCCAAAAGGCTGATTAAGGAAATGTTTAACAGAGCTAGCACCAATATGCCTCTAACGAAACAGTCCCTTTTAGATAAAGTACACATCTCATTTATTTCAGATTCAGCTCACAGGAACTCATTTTTTGCTCTAAATACACCCACAGCTTCAGCATTTCTGAACAGCCTTACTGGGAGTAATTCTTTGCATTCCTGTGTACTTGAGCCCTCCTCCTCCAATCTACCACTTTGTCCCAGCTCTCCCACATCAAGAGTGTGCTTTTCCTAAAGCAAACATTAAAAAGTATGCCACCAAGCGTCATCTTTATTTAGGATGGTTTTCTTCATCATCTGCTTGATAGCACAAAAATATCACTGACATTTCTTGCTTCTTATCTGCTTTAGCCCAGTCGCAATTACGTTAGTTCATACTCAATTATGTAGCTGCAACCCACGTAACTGTTGGAGTAAACGAGTCAGTTCCAACATGGTTCAACTTAAGGGACCATACACAAAGAAAAACAAGTCATCATGTTTGATTGCTCTATTCGTTATGCACATTAACAGGTGCATTTCAGAAATAATCTAAACAGAGCATTTCATAGCCAATACATGTATTTCAGACCACTTTCTACAGCCGTTCTTTGAGTTAGAAGTAGAGAACAGCACCACCACAGGCAAGGTGTATGTGAGTATGTACCAGTCCTCACCACAAACTTGTGGTGTACCGAGGAACCATTGTGACAAGACAGCAAAAAAGAAAGTCTGGTTACAGGCTAGCTTTTATATATTTTTTGCTTCGTTTGTGTAATCACAGTTGTGCAGATCCCCAGGAAGGATTGTAAATGTTTAACATTAAGCAGCTAGTCACGGAAAGAGAAAGTAATGAAATTAAAGTGACAGTCAGCGTCTTTCAAGTAAGAGTGTCTGGCAGCATAGGAGGCCAGAACAGGCCAGCATTCACACACAACCAGATTTTCAATCCTGAAGGGATAGCTGGCCTAAACACCTGACTGTGCATCGTTCCCTCTCATACTGGCCATTCTAACGATATTTCTTCCTTATACAACTAGCCTTGCTTATGGTCTTCCATAACAACATGTGCAGCTTTGACATAATTTATTCAAGAGAATTTATATACACACAAACATATGTACATCTGTGTACATACATGTATACACAGATATATACAAATATTCATGTTACTTTTATATATATGGTTTTTTTAAGAAGTATTTGACTAGATTATTGGTTTTAGAATAAAACTCCTAATGACCAGGGCTGTTAACAAAGACAATTACCACTTCCTGGCAGTCACCCAAAGCAGTGCATTAGCTGTCCTTAGCCTGGTCTCTCTTGGACCAAAGTTGACTACGGGCAGAACGGACTTGCGCTTTCCTGCTGCATGTTCTGCAGACATAGCTTTCAGTCTACTCCAAACACAGTGGATCCCCTTCTCCTCCAAAAACGACAAAGCTAAAAATTATGTTCAATATATCCTTTTAATCTGTCAAAGCTGTCTGCAACTGTAGTTCCTTTCTGCAGACTAACTTCTTTTAGATTCCTGGAGTCACATGCTGCCGCAGCTGCTTCTTTTAAGTGCAGGGAGTCTACAGGGATATTAACGGTAACTATAAATTGTGGTCTGAGGAAAAGATACTCCTAAGTTTATTTAAAAGACATCAGTTTTTTTTTTTTTTTCCTCAACACTGTTATGTGGTGTGCTGTAAAGAGCCCTCTAGTAAAAGGAAAGGAAACAAGTGAGCCTGAATAACAACGTTATTTCCTTCAAGACAAATCTTCTAACCAGAGCACAGTGAAATAAGTCATTGCAAGACACAAAATCTTAAACTTACAAGTTAATGGATTCAGGGAGCTATTTAAGTCACCCAGCTCAGGAGCTCTGCTCTGCACTGGATCTCAAGCAGGATTAAAACACTGATCTAGGGTTGGCACACACATGGAATCTGCGTTTCTAAAGCAGTGTAATTTTGGACAGATATCCCACAATAAACGGAAGTTGGATGGAAAACAGTAGTAAAATACACTACCCCACTGAAAGGCACTCAGAGGTTCAGTGCCTGAGCAGTCTTGCAGAAGAGAATTAGCATGTGAAGGGGTTAGACGAAATGGGCCATGGAGCCAATTCCATCTGTTGTTAAAAACTGCCATACCCATCTCTGTCGACAACTTTACAAACAGGCATTCAAACCGGTAGAATCTGTCCACATCAAATAGGTGTTC